AAGAGGAGGAGAGAAGAGAAAAAAAGGGAGGTGGGAAGTATGGTGCACAACCGCACAAATATAAATAAAGTTGAAAACATATATGGTCACAGATGCCTTCAAGTTTACAAAAAAAAACTCCTTTTTTTTTTTCCTTATTTCTCTTCATCTGTGTCACATTAGTACGGAGAATGAAGAACGCCAGCAGCAAAAGACGGTGGTTGGAAACAAGGAGAGGAAAAAAGGTGCAAAGTTAAGGAGCAAAAATAGCATGGAAGTGAAAAATAGAATTTAGAAAAGAATAAAAAAACAAAAGTATATTGACACGAAAGGAAATTGGATTAAACACCCGTTGTGGTATTTATACTTGTTACCTGCGCACTTCTAATTCAAATTCCGGCGTTATTTATAACATGTTTCTTTGTCTCCTTTTCAAGTGAAATCAAACCTTTGCTGTGATTTCTAATGGTTTTAACAAATGCTGCTGTTGTTGCTGCTACTGCTGCTGAAGTCGGAGCAGCAGTAATTCCACTCCATCTGAACCTTCCCTCCTCCTCTCCTTTTTTTTTTTTTTTAACAAGCTCACTCCCAGATTACAGCACAGGAATATTCCTGTGCCACATTTTTCAATAGCTCTGTATTTTCCTCAGAATTCCAGCATCAGACAGATTTCTCCTGTGGCTCCTGGATTATGGAGAAGATGGAGAACCAACCTGGAAGTCAGCAGGTCCTCTGGAAGGATGTGAGTTCAGTTTTTTTGTTTCTTAAATTTGTTTTTAATTATGTAAAATATATATATAATTATAATTTCTTATTATAGTGAAAAATATATATATATATATGTTTTTAAGTATGTTGCACATATTTTATCTTCACTAATGAGCCCAGTAATGAGTAAATTTGGACAAAAAGAAAATAGCAAACTGCCAGAGAGGGAGACAAATCTGTCAACGTCACACTTTTTTCATCATTCAAAAAAAATAAAAAAATAAAAAAAATTCTATCAGTCGCTTTAGAGTTTGGGGATGGCTCTTCTGCAGCGACCTTTTCGGGTCACCTAAATTCTGAACTGGATACAGGTCTGGTGTCCCTTTACGGGAAATAAGCTGGTTTGCAGTTCCATAGAGCTTGAATAGAGGTTCACTTTGTTTCTGAAAAAAAAACAGTTCCAAAAAATTACTCTGTCACCACCAGACTGCACTATGATCATATTCTGATGTTTTTAAGAATCCTGTCCAGTACCTACTGGAAGACTGTGGAAACTTGAATTTGAGTCCAGTTGTTATTGCATTCTCTATTTTGTTCCCTTAAAAAGCTTCAGCTACATTTGGGATAGAAAAGATAGAAATTAGTCATTTTTTGTTTGTTTTTTTCTGAATCCATTAGCAACAGCCTGATGCTTGTTTCTATTATTTTTTTTTTTTTTTTGGTTTTCTATGTTAATTAAATTCGTTACTAGGGATGTCCGATATTAACATTTTGCCAATCTCCGCTATGTCGATGTCGTCCAAACTTAATTTCCGATTCCAATATCAACGGATACCAATTTAGCGGGGGCAGCAGCGGAAGTAAAGTGTTGCCTGCTCACTAAGGTGATGGCTTAAAACGGTGTTTCTCAATTATTTTCTGCCCCCCTACAGGATTGAATTAAAATACTTTTGAACTCCGGTTACAATAAGCTACAATGCTGCCATCTAGTGACTAGACGTTTGTTTATCGCTCATAAAGATAAATTAAAATTATTTATCGGTCATGCTCTGTTCATGTGTTATGAAGGAGTTAACAGTTATGGGTATGGGAGTGGGAGTGAGGAGGCGTGGTGAGAACTCGAGAAAGAGGAAGAGGGGGGAATGTGAGAGGAGGAAAAGACGATTTTGGTGAAGCTAGGTTGAGAGCAATAACGCAGTTTAGAACAAGTTGCTGCAGATGTGTTACAATAAAAGTTCTTCAGGGCACTGAGACATCTGACTGGTCCGTCGCCAAGGCATTAAAGTATTTTTTTGAGCAGATCATGTGACGAAAGGAATTGTGTTATCGGGTTTTCATTATCGGAGGAAAAAAACGATTCTTACAGATATACAAAATATGCTAACATTGGGCTGATAATATCGGTCGGTCAATATTACTGGCCATCCCTATTTGTTTCATTTTGATAAAATTGACATTTTTGCCTCTAAAATTAAAAGAAAAAAAGTTTTTTGTCTGGACTGTTCAAAATGTTTATAAAAGATTACGTAAATGTGTGCAATCAATGGATGTCGATGTTTTTATAGCTATAAAATAAGAAATATTTGACAAAACAAAAAAATCCACACTACCTGCTGTACTGCTCTTAGAATAAAACCGTTTTTGTTATCTTTTTTTTATTTGTTTCGGCTCATCACCTTCACCTTTCACTCCTATTCAACTTCATCTTTGATTTTTAATTTATATCCTGTCCAAAAAAAAAAAAAGACTTGCTTTTACGTAAGTTTATTTATTTGAAATGTTAAAGCTGATTTTTCTCTTGCGGAGTACCTAAAAGAGTGTGCGAAATAATTGAATAATTTGGACGTACGAGTGTCACAAATGAACAGTAACAGTTTATATACCGCATATACCGTTCGATACAGATACAACTTTATTTTTGTATCACCAGCTAAAATAAATGCAGATACCGGTATATAAGCCTAGAGTGCCCTCTAGTGGGCGTAGTCGGTGTGAAAATAACAAATGTACCCGAGTATGTCCCAAACCCAGCCAAAGGATGAAAAAAAAAAAGTGCGACTTATAGTCCGAAAAATACGGTAATTAAATGTGGTTTCCTGTTATCTCTCTGTATAAATCAAATAACTAAATTACGTGCAGCAAGTTCTTCTAGATTCTGCAGAAACCAAAATGTCCCCAAAATACCTAGACCTGGAAACATTGAAGAGAAAAAATGTGATTCCAGGAGCCGTCTGCAACTCATGGCTTCGGTTACTGCGTAGAAAGTGTGTCATTTATTTTTTTTTTTTTTTAAATGTTAATTAGATTGGTTTTAAAAAAAACAGATCCTGATGCGAAGACAGAGCTTGAACTAATAAATAAGAACCCGACTCGAATAAACGTCCTAGAAAGTTCTCCATATTTCCATCCAAACAGCAGGAGGCTCCAGACACAGTTCTTCCTCAAAGCTCTTTAGGAACACCAGACGGACTGTGAACTCCTAAACCTTTAAACAGCAGTTTCTGCCCCCCCCGCCCCTGCCGACTGTGTCTCTCACTCCTTCATCCTGCCTGCATTTTTCTCCTATTCCCTCCTCCTCCTTTGGAGTATTTGATTTTCCAGGCGCTGGCAAACAGGTTTCTCCTGGAGATAAGTTTCCACTGCTTATGCAACCTGCCAGAGAAACCATTTCATCCAGCCTCGCTTTATTTTTCCATCCCTTCTACAAAGAATGTGTATGGAGGAATTTCTGGCTCTTTGAGTGCAGCCTTCTTTTTTTTTTTTTTTTTTTTTTTTTTTTTTGATCCATGAAACGTAAACGTGCATCACATTTCTGTGGCTGCTATCTTTAAAAGAAAAACAATGGGCTTAGTGTAGTGTAGAGGCTGGGTTCCATTCAGGGTTGTTGTTTTGTTTTTTTACTAGACTGTCGTAAATAATTTCTACCTGCTGTTAACGTTTGATCAAAAGAAATGTTTGTTTTTTTTAATTCGAGAAAGATTATAAAATGTATGTAAATGCAACCTAATTAATGTAAACAAAATATGTAAAGCAGGGTCTAAAGCTTTGCTTTTTAAGGTTCTAGTGAGGGTATAATCTGGGCAAAGAGCAGAGATTTGTTCCCCTGCTATATTTGAAAAATATGCCTTCACATAAACTTTTATGGTCATTTTGATCTTTTCCTTTCTTTTAACCTACTGCCAATCACCTGTCAGCTGCTGCTGACATAACAAACCAATGGTTCCCAACCTTTTTTGGCACAAATTTTTTAAGACTTTTTTTTTCCCCCCCCCTTTATCTTTTTGGTGCCTCTTTCTTCTTTCCTCTTGGAACTTTTTTTTTTTTACGACTAAGAAATTCGTTTTCGGTTGTTGTCTACCGATTACAGTAGAAGTTTGTGTTTCGACAGGTTGACGCGCAGAAACTCAAATAGCTGTCAATCAAGATGCGCCAGCTCAGAGATGTTTTTTTTTTTTTTTTTTTTTTACGCTGCATTTATTTTTAACCCAATTTATATTCATGAATGTGAGAGTACGGCAGTTTAAGATTGTGTGTGGTGTTTTTAATCCTGATATTTGAAAACCAGACGACCCCAATGTGGGGATGTGACCCCATTGTTGAAAAACACTGGTTTAACTGGATTATTGTAGCTCTAAGAGAGGAAGGAGGAGTAGGACCCAAATGCAGCACGAGGGAGACTCGACTCAGGTGCAGGAAGTTTAGTAACAAAGTGCAAAAAAAAAAAATCAAACAACTCACTGGGTCACAAAAACCATAGCCAATAACCCCATGAGGACAGAGTGCAGGCACCAGGTGACACCAGTGAGACTAATGACAGAGACACAGGTGAGTGTGATGACACTGATAGAGACAGACAGCGAGGCTAAAGGACACAGTTCTTTGACTCATTAATCGTCTCACCCAGATGGCTTATTCCAATCAATAAAAAGGCAGAAGGACACCGTCCATTAAATATGGTTAAATGTTGGAAGCCATTTTGGAAAACTTGGTCTATGTCTGTAATACAAATCACGGCCTAATGGGTTTGACGCTCAACTTCAACTTATAAAATGACAAGTTGCTGGGAAAGGTTTCAGAATTTAGATAATAGCAAAAACAAAAACGTAACCAATGAGCTCAAACCTAGCATAGAAGGTAAACCAAAAAAAATATGACAGAACTAAATATTATATATTAAATAATATTAATAATAATATTAAATATTAGCACAAATGCTAAAAATAATGAGCATTATGTCAGTGGTAGCATCTCATCACTAAGTAGGGCTAAAAAACATTCGCAAAATTAGAACGAGGTTTTAAACCTCTCATACAGACTACAACAAGGTAAATCAAGATGCTACGTCTACACAAGCGTCCATGTCTGAAATCTGTTCAACAACTACCGTACTTTTGCGGACCGTTAGTCACACTTTTTTTCCATCCTTTGGCTGGGTTTGTGACTTAAAATTAAAATATATAATTGCTAATTTTTTTTCACGTTTCTTTCACACTGTCATCCACTAGAGGGCACTCTAGGATTGTGTGCCAGTACTTGGTATTCCTGTAAATTAAAATATATAATTGCTAATTTTTTTCACGTTTTTTTCACACTGTCATCCGCTAGAGGGCACTCTAGGCTTGTGTACCATTATCTGCTACTCCTGTACCATTAAAAATGTACATGTTCGTTAATTTCAGCCGCTAGAGGGCACTGGTGTGACTTGTACTCCGGAGCAACTAAATTGGGTTTTTTTTCTTCTTTATCATGCTTTTTTTTTGTGCGATTCATACTAGCGAAGAAAGCAAAGAAAGTTCACTGTCAGTTAGCAGTCAACGAACCCCAGAAGAAATGAAGTTTTATCCCAACCTAAAGTTTTCTTTGGAAACAATAGAAAAAACTCCTGATTGATTCCAAAATAGAGTCCAGTTTGTGGGCCACAAACACTATTGGACATCACTGACTTATCCATACTCTGAACGCAGTGTGGACAGTGAGACACTAACAGAGTAGAGCAAATGTTCAGACAGGAAACACTTTGGTTTGAGGAGGACGTTTTGTGGTGACGGGCGTCCTTTTACCAAACAATGGTTTGTAAAGCTGTAATGGACGAGACGTCTTTGCAGAAAAAGCCTTTAGCCCGGACTGAATACTGATGTGTCTGACTGATTGCCACGTCTGTGAGTTCTAATTTGAAAGGTGGACAGTGATGAATGTCTCCCCTCCACTTACTGGCTGTCTGATGTATTATGTATCCCCATCTGATCAGAGAAGCTGATGAGGCGCGAGAAGACGAGGGGTGTCCATGTCGGACGCACCCTGACATTGGTTATATAAATGACGGCACCTCCACGCCTTTCATTTCCCAGCTCACAGGTCACGGGAGGAGCTAATAGGGCCATCGTTAATAGGGGATGACTGACTTCAGCTGGGGCCGCCCGTGCATTTTGATGGGCTACGCGTTTGACAAAGTCTCTTAACTGAGTGGCTGAACCATGCTCTCCCCTGTCCCAGAAATGTAATTTATATTTCGTATTCCTTTTTATTTAACCATTGCTTAGTCCTGACATTAGTCCCAAGTCTTCTTCCTTTGGGCGAGTCAAGTCAAGTCTGAGGTTTTGTCGTGTCAAGTTAAAACTCGAGTCACTTGAATTATTCAGTCTTACCGTACCTGGGGAATCACTAGATATTAAAACACTAGATATTAACAGCTCAAATAATATTGTCGGACCAATTCATTCAACCTGTTGTAACTGAATGGCAATAGCAATAACTTGTATTGATAATAAATCCAATGCAATAAATAAAATAAACCGAAATAACTTGTTTTCTAAAGCGTAATCTTTTGATGGGTTGCGGGTCCCAATCCTAGCGCTCAATAGGAAAAACAATCTGCCAGTCCATCTCAAGACAGACAACAATTCAGACTTACTATGGACAACTATAGTCACAACTATGGACAATTTATCTTTAGATTGTCATGGGGGAAAAGAAAAAAAATCAAAGTCTCTTAAGAAAACTCACAGACGTGGAGAACAAACAAACTCGGGGACTCGGGGAAATCAGAGCTCTATAAACACTTCAAAACAGCTTCACCTTCATCCTTAATTAATTAAAAAAAAAAAAAAACAGACAGATAACCTTCTACTGCTGACGGCTGTTGAATCACTTTATCTGTGGATTGTTGGCAACTAGTTCTGAGGCTGGTTCACCTTCATCCATCTGTGGCAGACACGGCCGCCTACAGCGTAGATAGAGTTGCACCCGAAACTTAAAGCACTAATTTGAGGCTATCTCGGAAATTACCCGCATGTGTGTGACTGTAGTTGGTGCAGACGTTCCCAAGATGATCATTCCCATATGTTCTGGTTTTGGGTTTTGCCCTCAGGCTAGTCACATTGTCTCTCTCTCTCTGTGCCTCAGTTGGTGTCCTCCCGTAGCCTATCACCTCCGAAATCACGACGACTGTATTTGCCTTAACCCAGAGGTTCCCCAAAGCGGGCGGTACGCCCCCTAGAGGGGACTTAGTGTCATGGCAGGGATTGGGGATGGAATAAATCAATGAAAAATGCTGTAAATGTCTAACGAAAGACTAGCATAAAAAAAACTGATTGGTTGAAGGCGCTGTAAAATGAATATCTCGTAATAATATTGTAAAGCTCTCGTTTTTGCTGTTGCCCATTCGATCTGCTCGGAGCAGCAGTAGTAGCCCCGTGCAGTTTGCCCTGCCCCTCCCCAAAACAGAAAATCTCACTCCCGCCGACTGACAAGTTGGCAATGCTAGCATAAAATGTACATGTTTTTGAGGGAACTCCCTTTTTGGTGGGGGGGGAGGGGGTGGGGTTGATGCAAAAAAGTTCTTATGAACCAAAGGGGGTTTGGGAACCACTGCTTTAACCACACTGTTGGCCAGACGACTCATACCTCTTAACTGGAAACACCGTCTACGTCAGGCATGGGCAAACTACGGCCCGGGGCCCAGATGCGTCCGATTTAGTATCTTATTCCGGCCAGTCAAACTTTTCCAAATAATATAATTTATTTATATTATCATTATACTTCTGCCTTTTCTCTGCAATACCCACGTTTTCCCAATAAATGGAGTAGAAAATGCTGCTAAAAGCTTTTTCGCATGTTTGCGTTTTAGCCTTTATGCGTGACTTTTACATGTCATGTTCATCTTAGTTCACACGAACGCTCCATCTATCTGCTCCTGACCCGGCCCCCCTGTTCAATTTTAGGACCCAACGTGGCCCACGACTCTAAAAGTTTGCCCCACGCCTGCTCTACATCCATCTCACAATAATTGTATAAGAGTTGTTACTGTCCATCAAAGTGAGAGAGGAGCTGAGACCTCCTCTCATTGGCTCCCCGAACTCTTAAACCATATTAAATCTTGATTAACGATTAATATACATTGCTATTATTATGCCCTGACTAATTTCCTCCCACAAAATGTAATAAAATAATGAATTCTCTCATTAGTATACTTATAGTACTATAAGTACCGTATATCAGGATTTCGATTTCCTCTTTTTGAGACCTCATCTATTGAATTGTTTTCTTTGGAGTATTTTCTGTCTGTTCTTTGTACTGTTGAGAAATAATAACCTCAGACTGTTGCTTTCACAGTCTGACAAAAACCAAAATCAGCCAGGTTAGAACATCAAACTTTGTTATATTTTGCATCTATCTATCTACAGTTTTTGCATCGGTGAAGTGTGGTTTATTTGTCAACTTATCTAGTATCAGATTGTATTCATTTTATTTATCGGGTTTCAAACCGTTGTTGTTTTTACTCGATTGTTCCTTTGTACAGCTTGATTTTTATGCCCAGCGTACAGCCCAGCAAGCGGATACATCGTCAGTTAGGTCAGTGGTTCTCAAACTGCGGTACGCATACCACCAGCGGTACGCGAGCGCTCTCTAGTGGTACGTGGGGAAAATTCATATTTTCACATTGGTGTTGTCTCTTCATCATGGCTCCCAAACATTAGTCAGATTCTTCCGATGTGTTTATGTCCTGGATTATGATGTCACCGCTGTGTTAGTGTAGGTGGGGTACACGGGTACTTTATACAGTATGTGAGTTCCAAATTATGTTACACTGCATAGAAACTCAACTCTAAATGTAAGTCAAGGACCCACTGTATAATACACGAATATTTTAATATTTTATATTGCATCTAATAAGACTAATGAAAATATTCTGCAAAAAAAGGTGTTTGAGTCGTCGAGTCTGAAGTCAAGTTCTGAGGCTTAAGACTGACTGAAGTCCCAACTCTCACTGACTAAATACTCACCTGCACCGTTTACCTCTTTATCCTACTGTATTGTGCTAAAAAGCCATTGACGTGACACATTTGGAATAAATTGGTAAAAATTGACTGACTGATTGATTTCTTTTTTTTTTTTTTCCATGTGAAGGTTGAGGAAGTGAGGGAGAAGAAGAGCAGGTACCAAACCTACCAGAAGGTGGCTCTGGCTCTTACCCTGACCTTCCTGGTTCTGGCTCTGTCTGCCCTCAGCTTGACGTTTTTGTGGAGTCCAACTGTGGGAAAAGTAAGACGACAAACACTCAAAAGTCATAGCGATGGAAAAGTATTCATATCAGGAACAGCATCGATACTTTGGTTGACTGATCCCAGTTCCTGGTACTAGTTCAGGGTCGGCAATGAAAATGTATATTGTACATTGTTTTTTAAGTCAGTGGTAGCTTTTGAGTCTATTATTGTGTTATTGCAAAAAAAAAAATGGTTTTCTGGTTTGAATAATAATTTTATTATTATGAAAAATAATAATTTCACATTCAAACACAGAACAGTGTGAATGTTCTTTGCAGAAAAAATCAGTGAAAAAAAAATTATTAAATAAATCAAAAATAAAAGTACTGACAGCTGATTATTCCTAGAATTGGCCAAACATACAGTGAAAAGTTAGCTAAAAAATAAAATAAATAGCTAATAAAAGTATTCAAATTTGAACAGCCAAAGAGTGTCCATATTGGACATAAATCTTCTCTAAAACTACATTTTTTTTCTTTCTTTTGTCCTTGTTGAATTTTTCATGTTGGAGGTGGAGACAACCTCTTTAATTATTTCCTCTTTAATAAAAATGATGGTCAGAGGAGGTGCAGCTGATGAATATCTAACCTGGGTCTGGATTTAATGGGGTCTTCGGGGGAGGAAGTTTAGTCTCTGGACTCCACATCAGTGAGGTTCCACCTGTCAGTCAGAGGAGATGTTCCTAATGACGTAGAAGATTTGGGAAAAAAAAAAAAAAATCAGGATTAAATAGACAGAGGGAGGGCGGATGTTGCCAGATGTTGCTGATGTAACATGGTAATAAAAGATGAGGGATAATCCGCCTGTGAGATACGTGGCTCACAACAATAATGGGCCCACAGTAAACAGAACATTTTTGCCCAGAGCTTAAGAACTTGACACACACACACAAACAGACAAACAAACGCTCGCAAGGACACACAGATCAGGACTGGTGTCTTCTCCCTGAGCTTCTGTATCAACATCTGTTGGCAGTAATTAAAGATCAGATTTCAAGCCCTGATGATGTGGCTTCACCTTTATCTAAGTGATTATATCAGAAGGTCAGGCTGCAGGTCATGTGACCGTGAGGACCCGTGAGAAGGACTCATATTTTTGTATCTATAGCTATATCTATTTATCTATATTTATATATATATGTATATATGTATGTATATATATATGTGTATTAGAGATGTCCGATATTATGGGCATATATTATTATAATATATAATTATATATTATTATATACATAATATTATATAATATATATTATATATTATAATTATATATAATATTAATAATAGATAATATTATTATAGACATTATATATATATATTATTAGCATAATTATGATATATCGGTAATAAAAACGCAATTGTTTTTCCCTCCGATAATGAAAACCCGATAACGTGCCTGGGTTTTTTTTTTAAATCGAACAAATGAAATGTGTCTGCCTAATATATTCATTTATATATTTATTCATTTATATTAGCCACATTTCAAGCAAAAGCAGCTCAAAATGAAAAGCAAACGTTTGCAACGCTGAGAGCGACTTTGTAATGACGACTTACAGGAGTAGCAGATACTGGTTCGCAAGCCTAGAGTGCCCTCTAGCGGCTGTCAGTGTGTGAAATAACAAACGTGCGAAATGATATATTTCAATATATAAGTCGCAACCGAGTATAAGTCGCAAACCCGGGCCAAAGGATGAAAAAAAGGGGCGAGTTATAGTCTGGAAAATACGGTATATTTCAACTGTCGCAGCTCTGAAGCAGAAATAAAGAGCACAAAGGTCAGCCAGGGGACAACATGAGAGGGAAGGGTGCTGTTGGCGCAGCTGCACACAGCTCCCATCCCCTGCTGTGGTTTCAGTTCTATTCTCTGAATGAGTTCTGATTGGGCAGACTTTTCTGTGCTGTGTGTTCCTGCTGCTATTTTGTCTGCGGCTCCAAACTTCACTTAACTTCATAGTTTAGACCGTTTGTCACTTGGTTCAATACTGAAGGATAAAAGCAGGATTTCAATCCTTTTTGCAGTTTTGCTGCTCCCTTAATTTTATATTTCCCCATACACTTTCGTTTCTTTTTGTATTTCTTTATAAATACATTGATGGTTGTTCAACCTATCCATCTCCAATTTTATTCAAGGGCTTTTAAAGGTCTGAATTGCCTGTTTCTGTGGTATGTGTGCCTTTAATTTCATTTCTTGGCATCTTTCTCTATGCTATAAGTTTGAAGGATTTCTGTCCATGTTTTCAGCTCACCTCTCCGTTGTATAATCCTTCAACCTTGTTGTTGTTTTTTTTTTTTTTACATGTAACAGAGTGCCAGACAAAAAAACAGACATTCAGTAACAAGTCTAACATGGAAATGTGTGAATGGTTAATTCCACTTATATGTGGCCCTGTGATGGACTAGAGAACCGTCCAGGGTGAAACTCCAACCCTGGAGTCAGTGAAAAGGTATTGTATAAATTTCAGAAAACTATTCTGCGGCATCGGTCTTTTGAAGCGTCCTCAAAGCTATAATTTTACCCTCCAATGCGACATAAAGCGACTGAAGAGTCCGTATTTAAATAGCTGCAGTCTTTTCACCTCCGAACTCAGACAGTGAGCAGCAAAAAAAAAAAAACGGATCATTTTCCTCATTTACTGTCTGTCCTTTTAGATGAAACGCTCACTTCTTCTCTCATTGGCTGCTTAATTTCCATGTCTTTAATCAGAGGGTGACCACGATGGGGCGTTTTTAGGGTTTGATCAGTGAGTCAGTGTGAAGCAGTAAAAAAAAAAAAAATCACAGCAGAACATGTCATCCTTCTCCAGAGGGTTTTTTTTAAAGGGAGGACAATTTTCAGCGTTATTAAAGGGAAGAACAGAGCAGACCTGACATAAACCCACACAGGAGTCGTGCTAACAGACTGAGAGCATGTCGTCATCATGAAGCCACGGTCCCACTGAGATACGGCTGCATCTCTACTTGTCCCGCTTTTATTGGGTCTTTAAGGTTGAATCACAGTGTGAACACTATTTTAACAATTACCAATGAGTTGTTTGTCTCCAAAGGCAACAGCTGTGTTCCAATAATTTTACTTCTCTGATCTTGACGGTGCTATAGCAACTTTCAACGTCCTGACTAAGCAGCACATCTTCCCTGGAGCTGCTTTATATTTCGTGCTACATATCTTTACTCATATATGTAGGTGAAAATCTAAAAAGAAAAGCTGAAAATGCTAATATATATATACATATATATGTGTATATATATATATATATATATATATATATATATA